ATTTGATGTGCCTTACTCCAATCAGTAAGGTATTCAAGGCAGTAAATGTTATGTTGAAGCAAAATTTTAGAAGATTATGAAATATTTTGCATATCTTATTAATTTTTTACTTAGCATTTTTGTATTAATGGAAAGACCTTTTGATTACAATTCCTTTTTTTCTTTTCCTTTTCAGTAATTTAGTAAGTGGGCATTATAAATTCAGTTAAGCTAGGAACGTGTTAAAAAGTGATGTCAAAAGGATTCAAGTTAATTCCTCCTTATTATTTCGTCAAAGACAAAAATTACTGTGAAAGTGGTTAACTCTGAACTCTCTATCTAGGACCTGGGTTGCTTTTGTTTTTGTTTGATTTTCTTCTTTTCTTGCATCAATATGAGTTTTTACAATACAAATCTATGACTGAGTTTTCAGTTATGTGTGGAGAAGTTTATTAACTTGAAACTGTCAGTATTTTTGTATTATACCCTGCTTGTTAGTGTGCATCTAGATTTCAGTCTTGATAGGGCTTAGGAAGGAAGGCAAGCTTGTAAGTTGTAAATCTTGTAGAACATTTTGGAACTCTTAGTGTCCTTTTCCCAAACATATTAGGCTGTTATTGACAGCATCTGAAATACCGACAATTGGTTGTTTTGATGAAGAAATAAATGTATACTCCAATAGAAGCAAAATAGTCTGAAATTGACATAAAAGCTCTCCTTTTGAAATAGAGAGCCATCAGCTGGGCTTATTTAGCAACAGTCAGCTCTTAACTGGTAAATTATCTTTTTTTTTTATTACTTCACCTAACAAGTAAAAAAAAAAAAAATCATGACAATGTCAGGATATTACTCTAAATACACATGAGAAATAGATGTGGCAAGTAAAAAAGTGTTCTTTTTTGTATACTTCACAAGTAAATGCGTAGTCTGAGCCTGAGGGTGACAAATTGTCCAACTTATTACAGAGTACCTTACAAAATGTTTCAGAGCTTTCTATTTTCAAAAATTAGGTCTGTATACACCATGCAGAATCACCTCTGTTTTTCATTGGGTCCCTAGCCTATTATCAGCATTTGTGCAATGCTTGAACAGATTTCAGATACTCTAGTGTTCGAAGGCACTGGCTAATTTATGGCCGACTGCCAAGTGTGTCTGTTTGCTGACATAACCCTGTTATCCTTTATATAACTTGCACAAGGCTATGTGTGTTGCAGATGCAATCTGCAGCGCTGTGAGCCGCTTATATTTATAGCAGGTGGCTGGAAACACAGATTTGAAACTACTTTTAATTTGCTGTGAATAAGTATGCAGCTTTGGTGAACTAATGATATTCTGATAGTTTAGCTTCAGGGATCAGGTTTCCTTATTTTGTCTGAGAGTTCATGATAGGTGTATCTTAATGCTACCCATCCTTTGGGCAGATACTAATCTGCTAGACAGTGGCACCTATACACCTGCCATTCAAACATTTGTTGTTTCCAGGCTGGACTACTGCAGTGCTATATGTGCCTAAGTGTTGCCATATTTTTATAAAAATATTTATTGCTGTTGCTATTACTAGCTTCTGACAAAAAAAAAGTGAAAGATTTCTTCTAGTAAATTGGTGTTTTGAATGAGCTCATTATGAAAAACTGAGCAAGATTTTATGTTCTAGGGAAAAAGATAACTCTGATGGTGACTTCCCTCTTTTGCCTTTCCTCTTCATTGCACACACATGAACACACTCAACCCTCATTTGTTGAACTGTTTCTGACACATGGTGAAAAACTCTGTACCCTTTCTTGCCCTGAGTACTGTAAAAAAATTGTAGTTGTTAAGCAAGAATTTTCTGAGTGAGTCATAGAGAAGATAGAGAAACTTCAGGGAATTTGGAAAAAACCTTTGCCTGTGGGATAAACTAAAAACCTGGAATGTGTTATGCTTACCTGAAAAAATGATGACTAGCCAAGATATTTGAAACTCTGCAGTAGAAGACATGATTCCAGTAGAATGTGATACCATGCTATTGGATTTAAATCAGTGTCCTGCAAGGCACTGGTTAGAATGCAGAATGTTATGATTCTAAAACCTCTGAATGGAGAGGCATGCATTCCTCTGAAAGATGTCACCTTAGGGTGCAGTACCACTCAGTGAAGGTATACAAGCTGGAATATTCTCATTCAAATATGAGAAACTAGACAGAAAGCAGAACATTATCTGAGAGAGCTTGGTGCTCCCAAATTTTCCTACTTTAAGGTGAGCTGCATTTGGTGTATTTATTTATTGAGCATGAGAGAGAAGATGCTAGTGGCATGCTATCTTGATGCACAGTAACCAATTGGTTAGAATGTGCATTAAGTGTTGGGTGAATAGGAGCTTTCTTACAAGTAGACTGCTTTATAACTATATTTTAAATGTTTTGTGGAATGCCTAAAACGAAAGATAGCATTTCTTTTTAAACAGGATATGTATTTGTTGAAATAAATGAATAATTTATTTACTTGCTATCTTGGTTGTATGTCTCCTTTCTGTGGATCCTTGTCAGGATGTACTTCAAATGGATATTTTTAGAGAACAGTATTGGTCTTTGGGAATAATTGAAGCATAGCAGTAGGTGAGTTATATGTCCCTGTAGTTGGCCTTTGGGCCTTTTGAATGTCAGTTTTTTTAGTAATTTCATTACTTGAAAACATGCCATGGTGATTAAGTGTTCACATCTTTTATCTAAGAAAATCAATTGCCATCTTTGCCTTGATCAGTCAGGAAAATTGCAAGCCTTACTATGTTGTGTTCAACTGTCTCCATGCTATACATAAGGCAAATACAAGATAATTTTTCCATTTGACTTTTCTTCAGTCTGGTTTTGTCTCTCCTTTCGTTAATGCAGACCAGGTAGTATGACTCAAAAGGAGTCTAACTGCACGCCTTCTGTTTATGGATATTTGTCTAATTGCTTGTGTGTTTATTTCAATACGTGTGTGAATATGTGTTTGTATATTTATTTGCACGCCTGCATGTACTTGTGAAACTACCTTTCAGCGTTTACTCCTAAAGTGTTTGACTTAGTCCTCAACATTTCTGCAATTTCTGAGCTTTAAAAAAACTTGTGGCAAATACAAACATGTAAAGGAACAAGTGCAATTCAAGAGTCTTTTGGTATCAAGCGGCCTAAGTGGATATGTTGAAAAAACCAAGTATTTCAGTAAGGAACAGTCATTGGAATGCCTTTCAATAGTTTTACCAGTTTTCAACATATTTAAATTTAAAAAAAAAAAAGTGCTGTATGGAATAAATATTTGGGAATATTTATCTTTAAAAGAATTACAGAACTAAACCAAAATGATTAATGTCTGTATATTGGCTTAATTTACTTCAGCTGATTATCTCAACTGATGTATAATGAACTTGATCTTCAAGAAAATCAAATCATCCTCTGAGATACTTAAAAATAGAATTAATAGCTCAACTTCTCTCATCAGAACATGACAATCTTTTTGGATGCTTTAAGTGCTTAGGGAGAAATTTACTTAAAAAAAGAAGCTACTTGCAATGAGATACAGGATGTTACCTTTTTTTCACTGCTTCAGGATTGGTAATAGTCTAAAAAGCCTGAGGACATGACCCTTATTTTGAAAGCTCCAGGTACCAGATCTCTATCAAGATGATATTTTCCACAAGGATTTTACAAACTTTTTGAAAACTTAAGATAATATTGCAGAATAGTTTAATAATAATAAAATGATCTTGAAATAAGCCTTCCCAGAAACTTCAGGCAATTATAATCCAAATTTGAGCAATTTAATGAATATGAGTTATTTGATATTCTAGTTCGTTTTATTTAGTGTTGTAACAACTTCATAACATTTAATAAATAGTAATTGACATCTGAAAACAAAAAAGTAATTTCCTCAGCTTGTAAACATTTTGTAACATATATGTTTCTGTTGAAAAAGCAGTGCTGAAGATCCTAGTAATGAAATAATTTTTTTTTTTTTTAAGTAGAATGAAAAAGTCCTAAATAGACACAAAATGCTGACCTCCCTTGGTTTTTGCACCAGTTTTGTGTCTAAATAGGTTTGATTACACTGCAAATCGGTATTACGCTAGAATAGCGTTATCAAGTTAATTATCTAAAAACTCATCCCAGCTTCCCATAACTTTCAAAAGCCAGGTGAATGGCTGAGTGCATGCAGTACATGCAGTGATGCTGCCACTGGATTATACCTATTATAAGCTGGTTTGTACAAAGCCATTCTACTAAATACCTGTTGAGATCTGCAGCTGTAGCTGTAGGCTTTATCATGTGCAAATTATCCCTGCTTTTGGAAGTAAGTTCAGAATGCATCTGAGGTTGTCTCACTCCTATGACAGTTACTGTTACATTTGAACATATTTTCCAATTTATCCCTGTTTTTCAAAGAGATGCCGGGCAGAAATGTCTGGTCTTTTCCTAAATATTAGCCAGCCTTCATATCTCTCCTCGCTAGAATAATTCTGTTGAAACTGTCTCCCTGCATTTGTTACTAACGTATTTTCTTAAGATTTTCCTGTATCTTTATACTGTTACCATTAAAACACTAAGGAAAATCCCACCTGTCCTTGAGGTAATCATTAAGGAATCTTTGGATTGCTGATGCTGTTTTCAGCATTCCCTGCCACAATTTTTTTTTCTCGTTTTCCCCCACTAACAGTAGTTGAATTTGTTTTTCTGCACTTCCTTTTTATGTAATTTTTAATTTGAATAGCTTTGTATGTAAAATAAAACATGGAAAGTGAAAAGCTAGAAATCAGCACATTATGAACAACATATATTAATGGCATTAGATTAAACTTACAGAGAGATGTTGAATCTTGAGACTTAAGTGAAATTAAGTGTTTATGGAATAAATCTGTGTTACACAAGAGCATAATCACAAAAATCTCCCTGACACATAGGATTCATGGAATGTAAAAATACAAATTGTGCAATGCCTTTCAGTGAGTATTTTGTCTTATAAATCGAGAATATTTACATGGTTTCAACTGTTTCTTTTTCTTTGCAGTACTTGGGGTGTATAGAAGTCTTGCGTTCAATGAGATCTCTTGACTTCAATACTAGAACACAAATTACAAGGTAAGACTTTATACAAGTATATATTTAAAATAAAGTATGAATTGTTTCCACAGAGAGGAAGGGATATGAAAATAGCAAGACAAGACATATAGTAAATATTTTATGGATACCTTAAATCTGCTTTTTTTTTTTGCTTTCAAAAACTCAAACATCACACCTAGTATTAATAGAGCTCCAGTGGAGTCTAAGGAATATATTCCTTCTCTTTCTCTTTTTTGTTCTAATTTTTTAATTTTATGTGCTAGGAACTGCTTTAGAAAATTTTATCTGTTTTTCAAATTATGCTGCCCCAAAAGGCACTTAGCTAGCTAGTACTTTCATGACATTTAAGCTACCAAGAATGAGAACTATGTTTGTTTATAATCTGTATACAAGTCTACAAGGCATTTCTCCAAATTAGTCAAGGGAGCTAAAAGAAATGAATGGACATGTTCTTTTCCAGATAACATGTAGCAAACAACAAGCTTATATTAGACTTTCTTTACAATTCTTCTTTGAAAGCTATCCTGGTATTGTTTTAAAGGTAGTATAGTGTCTTAAGAAGTGACCATGAATCACTTCCTTTCTAAGATATATTTTCAGAGCAGTAGCAAATAGTATTTTGAAGATGTTTTCACTTGAAAAGCTGAGGTCATTGATGCAGAGAACTGTAGTGTTGCCATCTTCCAGCAACTGGGATCACATTTCAATGACCATAGTCACAGCTGCTGATAGTCTTTCATAAAGCATGGTCATACTATAGGTAGCTAAGTATTTCTGTCATTAAATGAGTAAAATGACTTACTTCAGGCTTGGATGCCATTCTTGTTGTCTGTATGCACTGCCTTTGAGTTACCCTCGCATATATCAGCTTTGGGTAGGACCCTGTGTGTCCCTAAAAATATTTATCGTTTACTTGTCAAGACACTGATTTGATGAGGAACATAAAAACACAAGGAGAGATTAATAGTTGAATTCCGAATTTCAGACAATATAGACAATGGTGTCATCTGAGAATTTTCTTACTGTGTTGTTTTAAACTCATAGTGTACATTTCTGTGTTATTTGCAACAGTGAACTTCTAAAATGCTTGTATGTCCAGGCAGACTTACAGTTCCAATGTTATGGTACATCTGTGATGATCACTTGGAATTTAGATGACTTACTGTGGTAGGTTATTTTTCTATATTTCATAACTGAGGATGGAGTTCAGCTTTTTTTTTTTTTTTTTTGTGCAGTCTCTTTACACTTTATGCCTCCAATGAAACAGTATTCCAATTTTCTTATTATTTTGCTTATAGGCACAACTCTGCTTTTGATACTTAAGCATATACTTATGCATAAACTTAATTGTACTGTTGATCTGAACCCAGTGCCATTTGCACAAAGTATTGTGTCTTACAACTCTTTAAATACAAAATGCTTTTTGGCTTTCATTGTGAAACAGACTTTGAATCACATTTTTTTCTGTTATGTTATAGCATATTTGACTACATGCTGGATATACTGTTGGCTTATCTTCCCTTGACCACATGTAGTGCACAGGATATTTTTTCAAGCAGGAAGCTGTTTTCATGGTTTGCTTATTGTTTAGCGTTTCCTATTTTTTGATTCATAAAATAACAAGAACTTTCTAATTCATCATTCTGATCATACTATTCCCAACTAAAACTTATTCTGAAGTTGGAATCTTTAGTTCGAATTGGAATCAGAATCTAGCACCTTAACTTGCATTTCATTAATTCCTCTGGCTCCTGAAATCCTCATGTCGTGTTTTAAGTACCTGCAGGAAACAATCTGATCAGGATTCATCCTGTAGCATTTCATGTATGAGCCTATTTTTTTAATTATTTAATACTAATTGCTACGGAATTACTAAAACTCACATTTGCCAGCTAGCTTGCTCATGTGCACTAAGAAGCATAACATAGGCTTGAAGGTATGTTTTGAATTATTATAGCTGATATTCTCATATTACAAGCACCAATTCCCTCTCAAAGTGACATCTGTAACTCTGTACAACCCTTTAATTACAAATAAAGTGGAAGTACCTGAAAGCTATGTCTATTCGGGAGTGATAATTGTTTCAGTTTACCTCTGTCTACATGAACTGCTCTGAATGATTCCCTTGGCTCTTGTCAAAGCAGTAGGCCCTTCCCTGTGGCCTGCTGCCAGCCAAGGGCTGCACTTGTGATCCAGCTGTTTGTGGCAGGACATCACTGGGCTCCACATGTTCTCAGCTCCCTGCGGCTGCGCTACAAGGTCCTCTGTGTGAGGGGCGATGTGAAATTCTCTGTGTGTTTTTCAGTATCTGGAGAAAGAGACTTCCTAGCAGCTCTGTTTCTTTTCTGACCCACTACTTAATAATTCAAACCTACTTTATAAATGTAAGCTTGTATCATAACTTTTCAATATAATGCTGTTTTTTTCCCAGACTTTGCAAAACCAATCACAGAAGAAACTGATCCATTTTGGGCCAATCTAATTTCCGGTATCATGCTGTATTTGCCAAGCAGCGTAAAAGTCATTCAGAAAAGATAATCCAGGTTATCTGGTGTGTGTGGAAACCTGGATATACCTTTTCCTAACTGGTGTGCATTGTGCTTGACACATACAAAACACTCACTCTCAGGTGAAGCATCTACCTGCTCCTGCTTGCTTTCTTGTCTTTGCACTTCCTCCGTATTGCAGAGCTCCAGCAAAGGACATCAATCTTTCAGAATTCTATATTAGCTTTTTTTTTTTTTCCTCTCTCTTGGTTATTTTGTACATCATATTGTATATATCAAGTTATCTTTCTGCTGGCTCAGAGCAGGAACAATCCTCTAGGAAAGATGAGCAGCACCAATTCATAGGAAAAAAAAAACAAAACTGGCTCAGTCATTGTGTGATTGAGTTGTGTAGTCACTGGCCCTTCTGTAAATACTGGGCATTATTTTGGGAACCATTAGTCTCACTTTCTGATAACTCTGTGATGAAGGGAATTAGTGCTTGACATGTGGCACTTGCATGATTGGTGAACATTTAGCAATTGCTTAAAATCTGGCTACCATTTCCACAGGACTAGTTGATTAGACATTCATATTATATAGGAAGAAAATGAGAAAAGATGTATTCATGTCTTTGAAAATTCCATCCTTTATAGTTAACACATTAGGAGAGAATACATGTCAATATGAATGCATAGACTATTTTTGACAAATCATAAATCGTAATTTCAACACCAGGAACTGGACTGAAGCCAAGCTATCAACATCAGGACTTTTTCCTGTCATAATCGTGGGGTGAATTACAGTTATTACCAATCCATAACATCTAGTGCCATTGTATCTAACTTATGACTTGGTTTTTCTTTTCCACATTTTCACGTATCTTTTGTAAATTAAAATGTTAAACTTGTAGATATACATTTATCTTTGTGCAAAAGCAGTGAGCAAACACTTTCACTTGTCATACTCATCATCATCATGAGATTTTTTACAAACTTGGTGGTGCCTGTAGAAAGGTATTTTTATCCTTGCTGTGGAAAATCATTCTTTAGAATTGTTTCAGAATAGCACTCGCTTAATTATGAACTAGATAAGGGGGTGAAGAGCAAACAAAGGCAATGATGGGCGCTATAGAGAGGGATATTGAGCAACAGCTGAGAAAACGGGAGCTAGAGGGGGAGCCAAAGGATGCAAGCTGAAGAATGCAGCCTTATCTCTCTCGTGCCACTTCAGGCACTCATGTGCTCACACATTGGTTCAGGCTATGACTGCCTCCAGTGGATGCAGCAAGGCTGCACCCTTTCATTACACCAGAAGGACAGAATGTAGTTCCCAACAAATGTCTCATGCTCCCTGATAAGGAAGGAGCCAACAGGGACCCCCATCTCAGTGCAGTACTTCGTCATGAGCCACTCAGCAATGTGCCGCCCACCACTCCCTACTCCCAGCTTGCCATGGAACTATTCCTGTGTGAAATGCAGCTCAGTGTTGTTGCTCACCTCCTTCTGCGCAGGTTGTCTCCCATGTTTGTTTCTGGCTGGGATGTAGAGTGAGATCCACATGTAATTGATGGAGTCTTTCATCATTTGGCAATCTGCCTTCTGCTCCTTTGTCACACATGGACCCATGGTTCCTTGCCACTCACCTCTGTCAGCCACCTCAGGTTTGGTGGGGCTTGCCACTGGTTAGCTTGCCCTTTATAGCATCCGCTCACACCCATGCCAGGTGTACAAGCTAGATGTCTGGTGATTATGTCAAGAGGTACTGTCTGACACAAATAGTTACAATCTTTTGATTTTCTCCCTCCATGTCTGCCAAACTTATTTACACCTCCCAAGGTCTTTTGTTAATCAGAGTGAGAACGTCTTTGTTTCCTCCCAATGATATGCAGATTAAAGGAAGTGAAATACTGGACCTGGATAAATTAATTGAGGGGGCCTTGGAGAGTATAAAGAAACAGGGATTATAAATGAAAGAAATAAATTGGGAAGAACAGTAGCAGTTGCACTAGAAGTGGTACAACTAGCTGAGAAGATGGCTATCATGTACTGTAAAGCCCACCGGAAGGGTGAAACAACTGAATAAGTGGGCAATGCATTAGCTGACTGAGAAACAAAGAGTGGCAGAAATGGAAGACAAGAGAAATGCAGGCTTTGGTTCCAGACAGTAAAATTCAAATTGAAGGTAAACCAAGATATTCAAGAGAGGACCAAAAATTGATAAAGGACTTAGGAGGGCAGGTGAGAAACGGAGGGTGGATTAGGGTTGAGAACAAAATAATAGTTCCCATCTCCCTGTTATGGGCCATAATCATGGCTGAGCAAAGGAAAAGTCACTAGGGAACCAAGATCCTGTATAAATACCCGAGCCAACAAATTGTGGCTTGGAATTTATACACCATCATTAAACAGGTAATGCAGTGGTGTGAGATTTGTTTAATCCTAGAACAGGCCCCAGGGTGTTCTAGGGGAGGGAAATTATCCTGAGTAACAATGGCAAATTGATTTATCTGAACTCTCAAGAAAAGGGGAG